ACAAGTGCATTCACAGGCTCTCTCTGTAAATATACAAGTTGACGGCTAAGTCAGAATAACTTAAGGCATTAATCTAATTTATTCGATTGGCTAAAAAATTGTTCTGGGTTTTGAATGCAGTATTTATTTCAAGTGATGTTAACAGGCATGACATATTTCTTTCTAGCTGAGTTTTTTAATGAAAATAAATGTATTCTGTATATGATTTTCTGTACTATTGAACTGGCTGTATTCAGCATTGGGAATGTAGGAAAGACAACACAGATGTATGTGGGATTTTTACATAAATTTGACATAAACTGGAGCCTAAATTGAGAATTGAGTCTGCTACTGCCAGCATCAGGATGGGGGGGGGGGGGGGATTGAGATGACACCTTAGTGTATCTTTTTTGTTTTGGATAGTGTGGGAAAAGGTTATTAGCCCTGTCAAGTTTTTATTGTTAACATAAATGAACCTCTGCTGCTGCTACTAGGGAGATCTAGCCATCCGTTCTATATGTGCACTCTTGACTCCACTCATACATAAGACCCTCCTTAAGTTTAAACACTGAGGGTGCGAAAAGAGTCATGATATGTATGTCAAGCTGAATATATACCAATTTACGTAAATAAAACACCTGACAATTAGCAAAACACAGCTGAAGAATCCTCATATTTTTGTGTATTCCAGGTTTTTTTTACAAATGAGGTGTTCGCGGCATTCACAAAAATGTGGGGTTTGCACCAAACTCTGCCTATTCTTGACTACACCAAATGGCCAGCTTTTATCTTGTTTGCCCACACAAAGCATTCATTTAGTAGGAGTATTACTACTGCCACAAACTGCTAACTTCCTGCTGTGCCGCCTGTGCCAATACAACCAAACTGACCTTTTAAACTGTATATTAAAACATTTGAAAAAATCAGGTATAATTACAATCAAATTAATTCAAATCTAAATCAAATCATTAAAAACTTATTCAAGAAGAACGCAACAGCTTTTAAGCCTTAATTAGATAATAGATGATGGTCACTCTGGCTAATGGAACTCTGTGACCCCAGCAAACAACCCTGTTCAGCCAATCTTGGTGTAGAGGATTGATCATACAAGATCAGGGTTTCTATTTAGTAAGAGGGACAGGCTCAACTGGTAGTGGTAACAGTAACCATGTAAGTGACAGGGCCAGGAACAGTCTTAGCAGGTTTCCCCTGCGTTTTTTTATTCAGCAAGGCAGTAGACAAACACTGTTCAATTAAAGAGGGCTTTGTATAGTAAGTTTGTAGCATGAAACAAACAAAACATCTGCTTGTCTGACCCATTCACCAAACTTATGTCAGTTCCTGACCAATAGGGTATGCCCAATGGGTTCCCAAAGACAAACAGCAGACGCACCTTCTTAGTGTTCTTACAGTAGTCAGCCATTCACCCAGCAGCACCGTAGTACATAGCAGAAAAAGTGAGAGATAAAGAGCCATTCAGCCTCAGACAGCTCACATATAAAAGACCTGGGCCTAATTAATCTGTAAATAGGTAAAATGAGGGCCTTGTACATTTTTCAACCAAAACTAGACACTAGTCATTTTTATATAGATCAGTACCGCTCTTTTGTTTTTTTCTACTCCTAAATGATCACCCAACCCAGGAGAATGGGTGATATATAACATCATGCTCATGAGAGACTGGTGAACCTATTCTTTTTTACAAATACTGTAAAACATAGGATACTGCAAAATGGTGGGGGTATAACTTCTTATTCTTGGGGAACTCAATCTACCACCTTTACATCCTTCCATGCATTTGTCAAATTGGCATACTACAACTTTAAAGTCCTAAAATCTTCCCTGGCCACCGGCATATCTGACACTGAGGTTGTTTCTTCTGACTCCCCAACAATGACAGCTAGTGGAAAATGATCAGTTACCTCTGAAGTAGGGTTACCAATATCCCTCTGAAGTTCAAGCAAAACACAAATATCACCAGACACACTTTCATAACTGGCTACCTGTTTTTCCCCTTATTCCTCAAAACAGCTGAAAATCAGTCCCAATATAACTCTGTGTATCTACTTCCATGACATACTTTACAGTCCCACTAGGCATCTTTAATGTGAGCACCACAGTTAGATAGTATTTTGCCATGTACAGTATACAGAATAATTCTTTACAGTCTGAGAGAAATTTGGCAGGGTCCATCAAATTAGCCATGACCATGAATCAAGGTGACAAGGCTTCTGGAGTCTAGCAATGTCCCCACCATGCGTTCTTCCAGGGTAATAGAACATATTTTCAGTTTCAACTAAAGGCAAAACAGTTGTTCTTTTTATTTTGGATAGAGTAAGGGAGGGTTATAACCCTTGTCAGTTATTTTATTGCCATCTGTGTCCCATTGGAGAGATTTTCTATTCACTTCCTGTCCCGTAGCCAAAACAGGAAGTGAGGGGAAATCCCTCAAAAGTCAGGGAATCACAGTGTGTCACCAGGGTCACTAGAACCAGTATCCCCATTCAAGGTTTTCTCCTTTATTACTTTTCTGATGTCAGCACCAAATGTGGGATTTTCTTTTACTTTCATTTTCACACTGTGCTGATCCTGGAGCTTTGAAAGGTGAAGCTGCTTTCAGGCTTTATGCTGGGATGGCTTCTTCCCCTGCTGACAGTCTGTCCCTTCCTGTGTAATTTAGATCAGTGGAGGTCTCTCTTTCCAGACCCCAGCCTGTAGTTAGACCCCCCTCCTTTGGGGTCTCCTCCCAGGCTTCACATCAGCTGCACTTCTTCACTCCACTTCTTCACTGTATTTCACCCGACTCCTCTGCTGGCCAGGCTGTCTCATACTTATGGGCTGATCCAGCAACACTACCAGGCCTCCTGTCTCTAGAGCAGGGGAAGGAGCCAAAGGACTGATATGTAGAGCCATCCAGCTCTAACCTAAACTAACTTTGCTGACTCACACCCAGGCTGCTAGCAAACCTCTAACTATAAAACAAAAAAAACCTATCTACACTGGAGAGGCAAAATTAACTACCATATTTGCCGGCGTATAAGACGGCTTTTTACCCCTTGAAAATCTTTTCAAAAGTCAGGGGTCGTCTTATACGCCGGTATACGGCATACTGACACTTTTTAGGGGGGGCGGCGCGGTGCCGCCGCTGCCCCCCCCCCCTTCCAATGGAAGGGACACTAAGTACAGGGGTGGGCAGGGGCTGTTTCTTACCTGGCTCCGGTCCCACGATGATCCGGTCCAGGAAGCACGGCTGCTCCTTCAGTTCAGCCACTGGATGTTCGCGCGGCTGCTCGGCTCCGCCTCCTCACCGCTGATTGGCCGCCAGAACTGTAGCTCAGGAAAGGCACACAGGCGGCCAATCACCGGCGAGGGGGCGGAGCCGAGCGGCCCCACAAAAATCGAGTGCAGGAGCAGCAGGTAAATGTTCAGTGTAGAGGTGCTGCTGCAACCACATATGCTGGCTGCAGCAGCACCATACTAGAACAGGGTCAGCAAGTGTAATTGGTGTCAGTGGGAGGAATAGTGCCCCATCATTGGTTTCACTGATACCAATGATGGGCACTATTCCTCCCACTGACACCAACGATGGGGCACTATTCCTCCCCCCCACTGACACCAACGATGGGGCACTATTCCTCCCCCCCACTGACACCAACGATGGGGCACTATTCCTCCCCCCCACTGACACCAACGATGGGGCACTATTCCACCCCCCCACTGACACCAATGATGGGGCACTATTCCACCCCCCACTGACACCAATGATGGGCACTATTCCTCCCACTGACACCAATGATGGGCCACTATTCCTGCCACTGACACCAATGATGGGGCACTATTCCTGCCACTGACACCAATGATGGGGCACTATTCCTGCCACTGATACCAATGATGGGGCACTGGATGGGGCACTAGTCCTGCCACTGATACCAATGATGGGGCACCTATTCCCCCTACTGATACTAATGATGGGGCACTATTCCTGCCACTGATACCAATGATGGGGCACCTATTCCCCCCACTGATACTAATGATGGGGCACTATTCCTGCCACTAATGCCAATGATGGGGCACTATTCCTGCCACTAATGCCAATGATGGGGCACTATTCCTCCCACTGACACCGATGATGGGGCACTATTCCTCCCACTGGTGTGCATTGGAAGAGGGGTAGTCTTATACGGTGAGTATAGCCCAAACACTACATTTTAGCAGGTAAAGTAGGGGGTCGTCTTATACGCCCAGTCGTCTTATACGCTGGCAAATACGGTATGTGCTGCAGTATCTCAACAGGCAACACTTTGGTCCCAGCTCCTTCATCTGACCAGGCTTGAATACCACCAGTTGCAACCACTTATTCATAAGGAGGAACAAATCATACATCTGTGACTATGGGGGCTTCTCAGGGTCATATTCCAATGTAAACATACGCTGTAATTGGAAAGCAATGGTAACCCTGAGTTGGCTGGGATTTCTCTTTAAGGTTTAGGATACTCCTTGGCATCTTGAGACTGTAAGTCAAAGGAGACGTTTATAGGCATTCCTATTAAAAATGGTGCTATCACATTTGACTGCTGCTCCTTACTTAGCCTCTCACATTCTGTGACTCTCAAAAATGTTGAGGCAGGCTTCAAAATCATCCTACAAAACCTCAATCATCCTACAAAACCAAGTGCTCTGTACAGTCTGTAGAGGTGTTGAAGTTAGCCTTTGTGCCACCATCTTCCTCTGTGACTGGCTTATAGCTGCTGCTGTAAAGACCAGTTTACTTGCTATTTTCTCTTTAACCACTTCCTGACCGGCCGTTGTATGTAAATGGCCGGACGGTGGCACTGCAGGGTTGGGTGGCCATTTATAAACGGCCTCCCCCGCACCCTGCTTGTACGCTCTCCCCGGGAGCGCGCAGCACCGCAGTCCGGTGCCCGCTGTGTCCTCCGTACACAGTGAAACACCGATTATCGGACGGGACCTCTGTACGAGGTCCCGATCATGTGATCACTGATTGGCCAATCAGTGATCACATGCAAAGTAGTAAGCAAGATGTCACTTGTGACATCATTGCTTACTACGTGTGAAATCTGTGAATGATCACAGAGATCACATGGTACAAGGCTATTCACAACAGCCTTGTACCATGTGACAAGCTGTGACCAATCACAGCTCACTCAGTAGTTCCCAATGGCTGCAAGAATGCAGACAGAGAGAAAGAGAAATGATTGTTTTTACATCCTATATGGGTGTAAAAGCAATCAGTGTAAAAAAAAAAAATCTTCATCACCCCCCAAAAGTAGTACAGTGTCACCATGGTGACACTGTACTGCTAGGGTGACAGTATGTAAAAAAAAAAAAAAATACTAAAATAAATAATAATATAAAAAAAAATAAAAATGTAAAAAAAAAATGTTTAAAAATTATAATTTTTGGTTATAAACTAATTTGGTTTATTTTTTTTTTTTTTACTAAAAAGATAACGGAATACATTTTGGCCAAGATTTATGATGAAATATCTTTTATTTGCAAAATTGTATAAGAAAAACACTTTTTTTCAAAATTTTTGGACATTTTCATTTACATGGCAAAAAAAATAAAAATCCCAGCGGTCAATAAATACCACCAAAATAAAGTTTTATCTGTCTCACAAAAATGGTAAAAAGTTCATATGGGTACAGTGTTACATGACCACGCAATTGTCATTCAAAGTGTGACAGCGCTGAAAGCTGAAAAATTGCCCTGGTCAGGAAGGGGGTAAAAGTATCCGGACTGGAAGTGGTTAAGGAGGCCTGGTGGGTTTTAGTCTACTGTTGTATCTGTAATAGGGCATTTAGGTGGTTCACCCTTTGTGGTAGCTGATTAGCCTGCGGTTGGATACCATTGCGCTGGTGTTGGTTTGAGATTGGCAAAAAAAGCTGGCTTACATATTCCTCCATTTTGTTCAATAAAAGATATATGGCTCGTTAAGGTGCTGTTTACAACCAGCACCAAGATGTAAGCAACTCATGGTCAGCTGGGGTAATAGCAGTGGTAACCATGCAAAACAAAGGTACCCAGGAAAAGCCTAAGCAGGTTACCCCAGAACAGTCTACGCAGGTTTGTCCTGCACTTTATATTCACCACTGCAGTAAACACATAGTTCACATACACACAATTCAACGCAGGAGGGCTTTGTACAAGTCTGAAGCATATTACAAACAAAACATCTGCTCATTTGAGCCATTGACCTCAGGTACTAACTAACAAGGTCCCCATAAATGGGTTCATCAAAACAAACAGCACATGTACCTTTTTAGCATTCGGTCAAAAGTCAGCATTTAATCCAGTACCAGGTTACACATGGCGGAGACAGAGAGAGCAAGTCACTGAGCCAGAGTCAGCTCACATATAAAAAGTCATGTGCATAGCTGATTAATTAGTGGGGTCTGACCAAGAGGTAAAACATGGACTAGAACTTGAGGCTTTATCCGCACAAAACTCTACAAAGCGTCTGGGATCCAAGACCCAGACCAAACGTTTTTTAAGATTTGAGAAAACAAAAAGTTTGTGTGTATATATATATATATACATACACACACACTATATATATATATATATATATATATATACACACATACACACATATATATATATATATATACACACACACACTATATATATATATATATATACATACACACACTATATCTCCTAGATTGTAAGCTCGAAAGAGCAGGGCCCTCGATCCCCTCATGTTTTGCATTGTATTGGTATTGTTCTGTCACATGTTCTGTCCCCCTTTGTAATGTACAGTGCTGAGCGAACCATTGGTGCTTTATAAATACTGTATAATAATATATATATATATACCGGTATATATATGCATTCTTTATGTATATACCTTTTCACATATAAAAAAAAAGGATGTGTAAAAAATTTTTCCAAAAACTAATATATTGTGCTTAACACTGAAATTAGAAACACAGTGGTAGAACAATAAAAACTTTGAAGGCAACTGGCAAGTTGAATAATATTGTAAAACCGTAACTTGGGCCTGGACATTCCTTACTATTCATTGACACTGCGTATGCTCGCCATGGTAACGCCTCAATCACATGATACATTGGCCATTTATGCAGCACAAAGAGTCTACTGAATAGACCATGATCCACCATGTCATGTGAACTTTTAAGTGCTTTACAATACTGAACCCAACTTATCAATTGGATCAAGTAATCATTGTTAAGGCAGGGAGCATAAAATTATGCTTCTGTACTTACTGTGCCATCTTGTTTCATGGAATTCATCATGGACATCTGTTTCTTTAATCTGCTTTAGGGTTCAACAGCTTTTAAAATATTCACAATTTGGTGTTTTTTTTTTTTCTTTTTTGGCAAGCTGGTGTATGAAGCACCTGCTTCTGGTAAATAAAGGGTAAAAAAAAAAAAAAAAAAAAAGATTCCTCCATTAACAAGTTTCTGAAGTCATTATTGCGCTAACATAGTTCACAATTTCAGTGAAAAAATCCCTCATAAAACTGAGCATAATATGAATTTATGTGAATGACATTGAAGCACAAACTTTGAGAGCTGATAATAATCATTTGATCCTCATAAATGTTTGCCAGCACTATTTAAATTCTTGAAAATAACTGCATTCCTAGGCACCACCCTTTGTTGCTAAGCACCATTGTTGCTAAATAATAATGATAGACATGCTTAGTATTTTAACAGGAGAAGTAATTGGCCAAATGATCAGACAGAGAGTAACGTTACCTTGCAATTTATTAAACAAGTTAGAAGCAATAATGCAACACAGTTTTAGGATGGCAAGAAAACATGCACGTTGGATAGGTGCAGCATGGCGTGGCCGGCAGTAAGCACACAGAGTCCTGATTTATAAAAGACAATGGAGTTTTTACTAAAACTGGAGAGTGCAAAATTGGGTGCAGCTCTGCAGAGAAACCAATCAGCTTAGAATTTTTTTTTTTTTTTTGCAAAGTTAACCACCTGCCGACTGCAGATAGCCGAATGATGGCTACACCGCGGCCGGCCAGTTCTGGGAGGGCATCATATGACGTCCTCCCAGAATGCGCTCTCCTGTGCGCCCCTGGGGGCACGCACCCGGCGATCTACGTGATTGCTGTGTCCTACGGACACAGCTGATCACGTGATGTGGTAAAAGGCAAATCACAGCGGCCTTTTACTACGTGATCAGCCGTGTCCAGTGACAAGCTGATCACGGGGAAATGCAATTGCCGGTTCTCGGCTGCACTTTCCTCACGCTGTCAGAGCGTGAGGAAAGTACTGCCGAGAACGCAGTTGTCAGAGCAGGGATCGGCACCGATCATCAGGGCACTGATGATCAGTGCCCTGATGATCGGTGCCCAGCAGTGCCACCCACCAGCTCTGCCCACCTGTGCCCAGCTGTGCGCCCACCTGTGCCCAGCAGTGCACCCGCCTGTGCCACCCAGCAGTGCCACACACCTGTGCCCAGAAGTGCCACCTACCTGTGCCCAGCAGTGCCACCCACCTGTGCCCACCCACCTGTGCCCACCAGTGCCACCCACCAGTGCCCATCAGAGCAGCCCAGCAGTGCTGCCAGTCAGTGCCCAGCGGTTGTGCCAGTCAGTGCCCAGCAGTTGCGCCAGTCAGTGCCCAGCAGTGATGCCAGTCAGCGCCACCTATCAATGCTTTCTATCAGTGCCACCTATCAGTGCCGCCTATCCATGCCACCTCATTAGTGCTGCCTATCAGTGCCGCCTATCCATGCCACCTCATTAGTGCTGCCTATCAGTGCCGCCTATCAGTGCTGCCTATCTGTGCCCATCAGTGCTGCCTATCAGTGTCCATCAGTGCCGCCTATTAGTGCCCATCAGTGCTGCCTCATCAACGCACATCAGTGGAGAAAAATTACCTGTTTGAAAAATTTTATAATAGAAACAAAGAAACTTTTTTTTTTGCAAATTTTTTGCACTTTTTTTGTTTACAGCGCAAAAAGTAAAGGCGATTAAATACCACCAAAAGAAAGCTCTATTTGTGAGAAAAAAATGATAAAAACTTCATATGGGTACAATGTTGCATGACCACGCGATTGTCATTCAAAGTGCGACAGCGCTGAAAGCTGAAATTTGGACTGGTAAAGAAGGGGGTATAAGTGCCCAGTAGGCAAGTGGTTAATTGAACGAGCTGAAGTTAGATGCTAAGTGGCTACCATACACAGCTGCACCAGATTGTGCACTTTCCGTTTTTAATAAATAAACCACAATGTATTGTAAAAGCAATTCAACAGTGCAAACAGACCAGGTGGGGAGGCTCACCTGACCAGGAACACTCACAGAACAGCAGTGTAGCAACATCGGTATATAGGCTCAGTGATGCTGACAGCATCTGCCATGAGGAGCCTAGTGTGGCCTTGCTGGTCCAATCCAAAAGGGAAGCTTCCTGAGAAGGTAGATATAGTCCGTGCTTTTTCCCTACTCCTCCAGAAACTTTCCCTATCACTAGCATTGTCCCTACTTTAGCCACTAGCATAAAGTGTGCCAAAAACTTGGGACCAGAGTCCTAAATAGACTCTGCTTGACCTAAGATCGCCACCAGGGTTATATGGGACCACAGCATCCAACCAGATCACTGTCCAGTGTGACCGAGGAAGTCATAGAGAAACACAGTTTCCCACCACTTCCTCTCCCCTCTGTATTGCCACTGCAGTCCAGCATCACCTGCAGAAGAAGACAGGCTGCACCTGCCTACATGCATACACTGTCAAACAATGAAAGCTGCATAAACATGGACTCTTCATATCAATGGCTCTGTGACTGTATCTATAAGTGTCTGCAACAACAGAGAATCTAGTTGAGAATTGCAACTTCAGTAAAACAGTACAGAACACATACTTGTGATTACTCTTATAGACAGCATTCCTCACAATGAAGTCCAGGGTAACTCTGGTAACACAGCTGAACAGCTGCAGGGATCCAAGGACAAAGGCCACCTCACTGAAACCAGAGCACAATGGTAGTAGTCAATGAGGTGCTCCTTACAGCACTTGGATCTTTTGGAGTAGCTGCATGCTGTGGCCCAGCTCAGTGTACATTCCCAAGAAAATTTCAAGGACGCAGATAGTGTTCTTTTATTGCAAAAT